AATCAGTCACACAAGAAAGTGCTAGTGCTGTAAGAGAATTAGTAGATACAGTTAATCAACATTTGCTTGTTTTTAAAGAATTTAAACTTGTCTTATGAAAATCCATTATCTAGTGCTATGTTGATTCATATTATTTCAGACAAATTAGACAAAGTTACTTTAAAAGAATGGGAGCAAAAATACGATAAAGATACTTTACCAGAAGTCAATGATTTATTTAAATTTCTAGATAGCAAAGCAAATCAATTAGAAAAGCTTGAAGAGAGGGGAATAAATGTCAACTCTCAAGTTCAACAAAGTTCTCAACAGAGAAAACCATTTAAAAAACATGTATCTTTAGTGTCAAATAATCTTTCTAATGCAAAGAAAATATGTCATTTATGTCAAAGTGATCATCTTATTTACTATTGTCCTCAATTTTTACAATTAAGTGTTTCTCAAAGATGGACAAGGATTAAAGGTATGAAATTATGCACAAATTGCCTATGCAAGGGACATTTTAGTAAAGATTGCAGTCATGGGTCCTGTAAAGTTTGTAAAGGTAAACATAATACCCTGTTGCATCATTATCAGGATCAAGGAACTTATTCAATTAATCACATTACAAATTCAAATATGCGAGCAGCTCAAGCTCAGTCATTACAAGTAACAAATAATGGCACCAATTGTCATGAATCAAATAACGCGACAGAGCTAGCTGTGTCTAATTTCTCAAAAACTAATAATACATATGTTTTACTGTCTACTGCCATCATTAATATATGGGATGATAATGGTCAAGTTCATCAGGTAAGAACTGTTCTTGACAGTGGTAGCCAGACTTCATTTCTAACAGAAAAATTATGCAAAAAACTTAACCTAAAGCAAATAGATGCAAATCTTTCAATTGTGGGATCAATCGTGTCACTTCCACCCTACGTTATAAATGCAATGTTTCTATTGGATCTACTTATGATTCAGATATCTTCAATTTAACATGTTTTGTCCTACCTAAAATTACAGAAAATTTACCTATTTATAACATTGAAGGTTCTAAATTAAATATTCCTAAAAACATTTCTTTGGCAGATCCTTCGTTTTATAGATCACAATCAGTTGATATGCTTATTGGTTCCGATTTATTCTGGGATATACTTCGAAATGGAAAAATTTCTCTGGGTAAAAATCTTCCTGTCTTACAAAACACATGTTTTGGTTATGTAGTTGCCGGGTTGTGGTCACAAAATGTCGATAAGGTCCAATGTTTTTTTTGTACAGAATGATCAAGTACAGAAGGATCTTGAAAAATTTTGGTCAATAGAAGAAGTTTCAAATACAAAGTTAATTTCTCAAGAGGACAACATATGTGAAGAACATTTCAAGAATACATATTCTAAAGATTCAACTGGTAAATTTATTGTCAAGATTCCATTAAAAGAAAGTAGAGAACAGTTAGGAGATTCAAAAGACTTAGCTGTGAGGAGATTTCTAAATCTTGAAAGACAATTTGAAAAAGATCTTCAATTAAAGAATCTTTATGTTTCATTTATGCAAGAATACCAGGCACTTAACCATATGTCAATTGACACATATTTCGATGACAACATTTGTTCATATTTTCTACCTCATCACGGGTGCTCCGCAATGAAAGCCTTAGTACACGATTAAGGGTTGTTTTCAATGGTTCTGCTAATACAACAACTGGTAAGTCTCTTAATTCTATTCAGTACGCAGGACCAGCTATTCAAAATGATATTTTTGCAATATTGTTAAGGTTTCGGTTTCATAAATATGTAGTTATTTCAGACATCGAAAAGATGTATCGGTGTATTGATGTCCATCCAGATGATAGACATTTACAAAAAATATTTTGGAGAGAAGATGTACATCATCCTCTTTCAATTATGACCTTAAATACCGTGACATACGGTACCTCGAGTGCTCCATATCTCGCAATGAGATGTTTAAGACAAATTTCTTATGATTGTCAAGATAATTTTCCATTAGAATCCAAATTAATTCATGAGGATTTTTATGTCGATGATTTGATTACAGGTTTTGATGATTGTGATGTTGCGAAACAAACCTGCAGAAACATTTCTAATATACTGCAGTCAAGTGGTTTTAATTTACGCAAATGGGTTTCCAATGATCCTGTCATTATAGAACATTTAAAGAACAATGCCGATGAACTTAGCGTCTTAAACTTGGGAAATTCAGATCCTGTAAAGACACTAGGAATACAATGGATTCCTAAACTCGATATTTTATGTTACAATCTTCCAAAACAACAAAAAACAATAAATACAAAAAGACAGATCTTGTCAGAGATTGCAAAGGTTTATGATCCGTTAGGACTTATCAGTCCATGTATTATTTTGGTCAAAATATTATTACAAAAGTTATGGAAACAAAAACTGAATTGGGATGATCAGATTCCCACAGAATTAGTAGAGGACTGGAGTCGATTCAAGTCCAAATTACATTTGATAAATCAATTTCAATTGAACAGATTTATTTTAACCGAATCGCATCAACGATACGAGATACATGGATTTAGCGATGCATCGTTCAATGCTTACAGCGCAGTTGTGTATATCAGGTGCTTCGATAATTCTGGAAACATTACAGTTCGTTTATTATGTTCAAAAACCAAGGTGTCTCCTATAAAACTACTTACAATTCCACGATTAGAATTATGTGGAGCTGTATTATTGGCAAAATTAATGAAATCAGTTATAGACGCAATAGGGGTTTCTATACTTCCAATTTATTGGTGTGATTCACAAATTGTGTTACATTGGTTACACGCAGATCCAAGTAATCTTCAAGTGTTTGTAGGCAATAGAGTTAGTGAAATTCAGCGTCTCTCAAAAAGTCGTTCATGGCATTATGTTGCATCAAAGGATAACCCAGCTGATATTGCTTCAAGAGGCTCTTATCCCCATGAGTTACTTAATCAACGTCTTTGGTGGAATGGTTCTATATTTTTACTGGATTGCTCTTTTATTCCTCCACCATTTAAACAGTCAGATTCTATTATTATTCCAGAAATCAAACAAAAACCAATCTCCTTAATTTCAAGAACAGATCAATTTATTATTTTTAATAAATTTTCTACTTTTCGTAAACTGTTGCGAGTCCACAGTTATTGTTTAAGGTACTTAAGGAACCTACTTAATTCTAGCAAAATAGAAAACTACCAGATGCAACATCCAGCAATCATGGCTCTCGCAAAAATCAGTACATCCCCTTTTTATCACAAGATGAATTAGAAAAAGGTCGATTAAGTTTAATTAAATTAGCTCAAAATGAATGTTTTCAGGAAGAAATACAATTAATCAAAGCTAATAAAGAAGTCAAACGAAATCACAAACTCTTAGCTTTGTCGCCATTTATTGATGGTAATAATTTGTTACGAGTAGGTGGTCGATTAACCCACTCTGGGTTAGAGTATAATCACAAACATCCTTTTTTATTAGATGGTAAGCATCGGCTTACTCAGTTGCTAATTGAGGATGAACATTTAAATTTATTTCATGCAGGTCCACAATTATTATTGTATACTATAAGGCAGCAATATTGGCCAACAGGAGGCATGAATGCAGTAAAATCTGTTGTTAGAAATTGCATAACATGTCACAAATTTAAACCAACTCAAATTACTCCATTCATGGCCGATTTACCTCAATCTAGAGTAAATATTTCATTTCCATTTGATCACACCGGTGTTGATTATGCAGGACCCTTTGTCCTTAAAGATCGCAAAGGTCGTGGTTGTAAAACGTATAAAGCATACATCTGTTTGTTCATTTGTTTCAGTACAAAGGCAGTTCATTTAGAATTAGTCACTGCTCTTACGTCCGAAGCATTTATCGCAACATTTCGAAGATTTGTTGCTCGCAGAGGTAAACCATCTCACATATATTCGGATAATGGGACTAATTTTGTAGGTGCAAAAAATGAGTTAAATATATTATTTAAGTTTTTGTCTACCTCTTATGATACATTTTCAAATTTTTTCACAAATAAAAATATTCAATGGCATTTTATTCCGTCGAATTCTCCGTCATTTGGAGGATTGTGGGAATCTAACATTAAAAGTGTAAAACATCATTTACTAAGGACAATTAAAAATGTTTTATTAACGTATGAAGAATTTGTAACGATACTAACACAAATTGAGGCTACGGTAAATTCCCGTCCCCTTTACCCTATGTCCTCAGACCCTAATGACTTTTCACCCTTAACCCCATCTCACTTCTTGATTGGAAGATCACATACTGCTGTTCCTGATCCAGCTTTTGGTGAAACGGTAAAACTGAACCAGTTAACAAGATTTCAGCTGCTTCAACAATTGCAGCAAAGTTTTTGGAAGCAATGGTCTACTTCCTACCTTTCCAGCCTTCAAAGCAGATATAAGGGCAAACAAAAGGTACCCAATTTGGAATGTGGTACATTGGTGACCATCAGAAATGAGAATGTTCCTCCATGTCAATGGATTTTAGGACGAATCAGTGAAGTTCACCCAGGTCCAGACGGCGTAGTACGAGTCGTTACAGTGAAGACGTCGAAAGGAACTTTAAAAAGAGCTGTAACTAAAATATGTCCTCTACCAGTATTATTGAACCAACCGTTCAAGGCGGGGAATATGGTGAAAACTTGAATCAACGTGGCAACGTGGTGTTCCGGCCGACCATGCGGAGTCGGCTTTAACAAGTCGCCCTCTTAGCTAGCGACCATCGAAGAAGCCAGTTCAAAAATTATACAGTCCATTTCATTTCAGTTTATTTAATGTTTCAAATGTTAATTTTATTATAGTTCAGTAAATAAAAAGTGTATAACGTATGCAATTCATTTCTACACATACGTATAAAGCCAAAGAGAATAATCATGATAAAATAATGAAAGATGTAGATTTTTTTTGAATGTTTTGACATTTAAATTGGAAGGGATTCATTTTGCATCATTTTGCAGTTCATTACTGTCCAATAATTCAAATACATATGAAATTTACTTACCTCTGCTGAGGAGGAGTTAATGCAAACCTATAAATTAAGTTTATCACATAATATAAAAATAAATAGGCTAAAAGTTCTCTCCACACTAATTTGTACACACTTCCTCTCCATCTGCAACAAAGAAAAAATTCAATTAGTGAATTTCAAATTGCAATTAAAGTAAAATATAGTTATTAGAGAAGAATCTGCTTTGCACAATATTGCATAATAGGTTATTCGAACAAAACAAACGAATATTATAAATTATATAATAGGTTAAAACCTTGACCGTGGGAAATGTAAACGCAGATTATTTAAATAACAGAAAAAGGAAACAAACTGAAATCTTCTATTCCTTTTTCCTTGATCTTTGTCAGGTTTAACACATTTATTTTATGATTCTGTAAATATAATATTGTTCTGAAGCTATTTTCTTGTGGTATATTAATGTAATTTACTATTTTTGGTGACAATAAGCCACAATTTTTTTTGTTGCCAATCGATAGTTGTGAGTTTTTTCCACGCATCCAGTAAAGTTTTCTGTATAAAATTCCTAGATGTAGTCTTTTCGTCCAAGTTTTGTTTAGATGTAGTTGCAATATCTCTTATGCTAGTGCTGGATTACTATGAGATGTTAGGAAACCAGTATCATCTGTAAATGTTACAAATGTTATTGCTTGTTGGTAAGTCAGCCGTATATAACAGGTACAAGATCGGTCTAAGCACACTACCCTGAGGTACACCAGATATGATAGGGTAGAGTTTTGTGTAGGCTTCACTATACCTTACTAGGTATCTCGTTTCTGTCTTCTTCTTTTGGTGCCTATCCTCTGTGAATGTTGGCAATCATGTTGGTCCATACAACTTTGTTGACAGCTGCTCTAAATAGATGTATGGTAGTCATTCCTGCCCACTGCCTGATGTTCTTCAACCATATGTCCTTCTGCGCCCTTGAGATCTTTTGCCTTGTAAAATTAGTTAAATTAGTTGATACTTCTCATTGCGCATCACATGCCATAAATATGTTACCTTTCTTATTTTCATGATACGCATAATTTCCAGATGTTTATTCATACGTTGGATCACTGTGTTATTTGTAACATGATGGATATAGGCAATTCTGAGCATGCGGCGGTAGCACCACATTTTGAAGGCTTCTAATCCTTGGGATGTTGCCTCCATCAAGATTCAGGCTTCGACTCCATATAAAAGGGTATAAAATACATAACGTCTCAAGACTCGTGTTCTTATATCAATGTTCAGGTGCATATTACATAAAATTTTTGTCATCAATATTAGATTCTTTCAGTATCTGAAATAATTTTTGATGTTGCACCTTGTCCAATGCTTTTTCAAAGTCTATAAAGCATGCGTAGACTTCGCAATTTACGTCTCGAGCTCTTTGTATCAATACTTGTCTCTCGGAAAATAGGATCTCTCGCATTACCAGTCCGCTTCTAAACCCAAACTGAACACTGCTAATGTTTTCTTTAAGTTTTCCATATATACAAGAGTGAATAACAGAAAGAAGGATTTTGAATGCATGGCTCGTTAAGCTTATAATTCTGTAATCAGAGCATCTGGTGGCAATTGCCTTTTTGGGGAGAGGTGGAAACTAGCCAATCTGTAGGAAATTCTGCAGTTTCATAGATTTTGTTCAAAAGACTCGTTAGGAGTTTGAGTTGGATTTGAATAGTTTTAATATTTTAGCTTGTATGTTATCAGGTCCGGTGCTTTGTTGATTTTTAGTCTTTTTTATTGCATATGCTACTTCACTGAGCGTTATTTCTGGTCCTGAGCATCCAGAAACACTGAGTTCTCTCTCTTGCTCTTCCTTGAATAATTCTTCCATGCAATTGCCATTCTCTCAAGTATTCTCTCATTTTAGTAGAGCAGATTGCTGTGCTCGTCTAGTATTAAGTTATGACTTCATGAGCCGTTTCCTCCCGTTAAGTTTTTGATCTTTTTATGTAGGTTAAAAGTGTCATGCTTCTATTCCAGGGATTCTATTTTTATGCATTGATCTTTTAGCCATGATTCTTTTGCTTGTTTAATCTTTTTCTTAATGATTTTGTCTATTTCTTTGTACCTTTCCTCATGCTTATTTCTGTGTTTTCTTCGTTCTTCCATTAGCTCTAATATTTCTTGTCTCATCCACGGTTGTTTCTTTATATTATTTTCTGGTTTAAGTTTATTATTTACCACTGAATTACATTACTTGAACACTGAATTACTTGATTAATATCTAAGATTACCATGCTGTTTATTTTGTTATTGGTTTTCTCTTTGACTTCGTCTCTTGTGGTTTTATCTTTCAACTTCTGGATGTCCGGACGTTTTTGTGTTTTTCTTTTATGGACTTTTTTCATGTGGAGATATGTTTTTGCGGATTTTACGGAATTCTCAAATCGTTTGTTGATGATGATGTAGTCAATCTGGTTTCTAATTATTTTTCTAGGACAATCAGCTAGAGATTTCCAGGTGTAGAGTTTTCGAGGTGTTAATTATAAAAACGTGTTCATTATTGCACTATCCGTTTCCTGGCAGAACTGAACAAGACAACTGGGGGATTTTTAGCACCCTCTCTCCACTTAAGGGGTGCCCGGAACTAAGGGCCGTTTGTATATTGACTTGATCTATTGTGATTATATTAGGGAAAGTTAATTGGGGTGGTTTCCCGTTGTCTTCACCAATGATTTTTCTTTCGTGTGAGGTTTATTCCTTGGGAATGGATATGTAAGAGGATTTATTTGTTTGTGTAGGGATCTTGGGGGGGTGACATGACTTCACCCGGCATGGGTTGGGGGATAGCCATGGCTCGCGTGGGCAGGGTTGCATACCTGAAGTAGACCTATCTCATACCGTTATCGTCCAAGAATATCTACCCGCTACCACACTCGTTTCTGTAAGGTATCATTTAAGCAGTTTGAAGTAAATTATAAGGTAGTCCAGAAGTACAGAAGTCCTGTCTGTCATACCTTGTCAAAAGCTTGGGAGGCACCTAAAAAGGCTGCAGTACAATATTACTTTTTTTCTAGTTCTAGTTCTAGACTAGTTCTTATTGTTTTGTGTAATCTGTGAACTTGTTCTATTGTAGGATGCTGGTTACGAAATCCGAATTGATGGTCAGGTATGATACCCTTTTTGTCCAATATTGGTTTGATTTTTCTCAACAATTTTTTTCAAAAACCTTAGAAATAACTGGGAGTAGACTAATCGGTCGGTATCAGTTGACATCTCTTGGATCTTTACCAGGTTTTTGAATTAGTATAATCTGTGCCACTTTCCATTGCAAAGGAAAGTAGTGTAGACTTAACATAGCACTGAAGATCATAGTGATTATTCTGTAGCAAGGGACGGTTGTTATCGGTGATTTATATATCTTGGTGACTGAATCACCAGTAGTGAAATCATATTCCATTACTACTGTATCTGTACTCACAGACCAAACTGTAGCATACAATAGACCAGATCTCATACTAATTAATAAACTAACGGGACAAACAACACTAATCGATATAGCGATACTTAACAACAATAATCTGTATATTAAATACAACGAAGGGTTGTAGTCACCAAGACAAAGATCGCTAAGTACAGAGATCTGAAAATTCAAATACGAAGACAATGGAAAATGGAAAGTACGCAGATAATACCTATTATTGGGTTTTCGATGCGGAAATGGAGAATGAACATCTCTATATGACCATGCAGAAAGCTGTACTACTCTCAACGTCCAGATGCGTATGAAAATTTTTGGGAGACACACCAGCATACCAAGTCACCTACAAAAGGGCTCGATAACACGTAAAGAGTCCCACCAGAGCTCAATCGTTTTGATACCGTAGGTATCAGGGATAAGTGAATTTTCCCCTTAGAGGGAGTGAGAGCCGTATGGCTAAATCACAATGAAAATAAAAAAACTAATAAAAATAAAAAAAAAAACAGTAAAAAAGTTTCTAACATTTCCTGTACTAACTGTTAAATAAAAAATGCAGTACAGTAGTATTAAATGTTTTGTAAAGAGAGAACTCAAAACAAATTGACTAGCCAGTTGGTTCTTAAAACCAGTGCAGGCAAAACATATCCAGCTAATATTCCATAAAAATATTTCTCAAGCCGCCTCTGCTAAATAGCTTCTTAAAAATGAAAACACCGCAATTAATAGAAAAATATATAACAAAATTCGCAGCATTTATTAATTAAATATTTCTAATACGTAAATTCTTAGGAAGGACGATTCAACCTATGGTAATTAGGCACGTCTTGTCTATATTTTTCTCAATTACATCGTTATCCTCGGGCTTCGAAAAATGCTAATATGTTTAATTATACAAATATTTACTGTTTTGAAAAACCACATCGATCTCACGACTTTGGTATTAGAATTGAAAAAATTAATCGAATCACTAGCAGACAAACACATTATTATCGATCCAAAGCTTCTTCCTATATTGGCTAAATTATTATTTTAGTATGTTGTTATTATGGTCAATAAAGTTTGTGGCCTGTGATTAAATATTTATTTAATATAAAAATATAAATATTTCTTATGTATTTATTATATATTGTTTCTTACATAATAATAAGTCATTATAAAACTAACGAAAGATTTTTACTTCAAGTTTATCCTTGCGGAAAATTTACGAATTATCTGCTGTTCTGGATATTTAAAAGTATAAATTTTATTCATGATAAAATAATATACTAATTGACTTAACTTTGTGACACAAAATGAATCAAGCTATTCCAAAAACAGAAGAAGGCAATGTTATAACCACGTTCAAGAAATGGAGGAAAAAGGTGTAAACATGCAAAACACATGGAAACTACAAAAAATACTAAGAAATTATAGAAAACCCATAACTCCACTACACGGTGAAAATAGAATTGTCTGCACCGTGGTAGGAAAAGTCAAGGTGATGAGGAGAACTCTCGAAAGAGAGTGTACATTAAATTATCACCAAGATGAAGATAAATACTTCATCGAAGTCGAGGAACAACAAGAAATGTCCGAAGAACCAGAACAGATAAACCCACCTACATCTCCACAAGAAATAAACGAACTAATTAAAAATAGCTCACCGAGAAAAGCACCTGGTCTAGATGAAATTTCAAATAGAGCTCTAAAG